CGCCATGTAGCGTTTCCGGCTCCAACGTGGTGGCTTTTGTCTCGTCGGCAGTTCGATAGTAGTGATCTGGATTCAAGATTATGTGTAATCAATTTTGTATACTGATGAAGCATATTTTCATAATTCTCTTAAATTAATTTTTAGGAAGACCAATTTTTATTTTAAATTTGTCTTCAAACTTGATTTCGGAAGTAAAAATGTGAACCACAATACATAGTTGGTTAATATAATTTTAGTCTAATGTAGTGAGTTCAATGATAAATATACATGTCAATAAATCTTTAGTAAGAATTAACTTCTTGATATAAATTTAGTCACGATTATATATATTCGCCATTGAATTCATTATATTGGACTAAACTATTAGATTCATTACATTTGATTTACAAATTCGATCCAACGGTATATATGCATAGTTTGACAAATTACAAACTATTGGTTTTAATTTTTCAGTTGTGTGTCCATGTTTGTTACAATGAAAATAAAATAATAACATGAATAGAATGGGTTAATAGAGATTAATGTTTTAATGGGTATATTGGAATTCAAAAATTAGAATAGGGATATTTTTGGAAATGTCATTTAAGACAAATGAATAAGTCTTTAGTCTTAAGTTAAAAAGCCAGAATTTTTAGCTTTTTTCATTAACTGAGACATGAATGAGTTTCATCAGTCTTAAGTGATTAAACCAGAGAGTTAACAACCCTTTCCCTCCCAAATAATGGTTTAATGACACTTTTTTCATCTATAGACTTTTAAAATACTATTTACTACCCAAATTATACTCTATTTCCAATTCTAAGCACCGTTACGACCTCACACTATCACTATTCTCTTTCCCAATCATCACTCACCAAAACCATTCAAACCTACTCTTATCGACCTTGCCAATCATAGACAATCGAGTGATTAGGGTTTTGGCAACCGCCTCTCCAAAATAATACTCTAATCAATCTCAACCAACAAAATCCAACCTTCTACCACTAAAAGACTCATCGGCAAGGCCGTCTCAAGAACATTTGTGACCCTAGGCAAGAATTACTTTGGGGGCCTTCTAATAATATAAGCATATATTAAAAAAAATATTTCAAATTTATTTTGTTGCCTTTTGAGATGCAAAATCAATAGGAGAGGTGGACGGCGATCGATGGGCTAACTGGGTCAGGTTGGTGGGGGGTTTTGGAGAGCAGATGTTGGAGAAGTGATGGTGGTGAAATAGATAATTTCCAATGCCTGGATTGGCTAGAAAAGGCTTGAGAAGTAGCAACCCAAAAGGTATCGGTGGCCGGCGATTTGACGGAGTAAACGAATAAGGTATGATAGGGATTTTGGTGAGAGGGTTGAGGGGAGGAAGATGGTGGTGTCAGGGAAGGCCAACAACGCCAGGTACATTCTGAAAAGGTCAAAAATGGCTATCATGCACGGTGGAGTTGGGTTATGAGATTCGTAAAAAATCGGTCAAATCGAGGGTTATCAAGACTAGAAAAACACTTGGGAAAATGATAAAGTGATAATTCCAATCAATTTTGGTGATAAAATTAATGGGAATCAGCTCCAAACGACTGGCGGCGAAAGAGGGGGGGAGATAATTTATGTGAATGTCTAAATTTGGGATGGAATTAGGGTTGAATAATTTGAGACATGTAAATGACTATCTTAGCCTTTTATTGTTAAAAGAAATTTAATGTGTTAATTTAGGGGTGTAAATTAGAATATATGAAACTAGAAGTTCAAACTTACTATTTTATCAAACTTTGGGTGGGAATATATGTAAAAAATTTATAATAAATTTGGGTCTTTTTGACTTTTTTTTGTCTCCTTGGCCTGGATAAAAAATCATACACCATTTTTATTTTTATAATATATTAAAAAAATTATAAAAAATTTGGGCCCCTATTTTTGGAGGCCCTAGGCAGTTGCCTCACCTGCCTACCCCTTGAGCCGAGCCTGCTCATCGGCCTCCCCTCTTCAAAAATCCCAACAAAATGGACGAGTTTGCTTTTTGTTCACCATTGTAATATAAAATCAAGTAATAAAATAATATTTTAAAAGTCTCTGGATGAGAAAGTGTCATTAAACCATTATTTGGGCAGAAAAAAGTCATTAACTCTAAACCAGACAACTCACAAATATTTTAATATCAAAAAACTTATAATTTTATGTTGTTTATAACACGAAAAATCCCATTGCAAAACATTTTTCTTCATTAAACTATCCTTTTAGTTTTAAAAACTATTTTAACTTCATCGTAATATATTTGAATAAGTATAAAAAGATTTAGGGTTCATGAAGAGGGATGTCAAAGGCATTATTAGAATAAACAATTGATGCTAAGATATAAGGATAAATATGTAATTATAAAAATCATTAAGAAATGAGGTTTCTTTAATCCAATAATAGGCTGCGAATACAACCACTCTTATAATTTTACAGAGTTTTTATGGGCTTAGAAAATGTGCTCACATGTACTCAATTGGGTTCGGTTGCGTTGAATTCTTTGTAATTTTTCAAATTATTATATTATTCCCATTCAAATTTCAAGGGTTTTCTAATGTGAACAAAGACAAATGACAGTTGTAAATTGCGATTAACAAAGACCTAATATTATAATTCTTATCATTAATTAATCACTTGCTTTGTCATTGGAAAGGAGACTTTAGGTTACCTAATCATTTTTGTTTGAGTCCCACTAAAGGGCCACTATGACATTGACATATATATATATATATATATATATATATATCAAATTGATCTTAAGTTTCATGAATTCAAGGGAGAATGACATTTTCCCACCCAAGGTTTGGCGAAACGATCTTTCCCACCCTTCAAGTCTCAAAATGACACTTTTCCACTATTCGTTAGGTTCTGTTATGTTTTTTGTTAATATTTTACTGAAAAGACCAAAATACCTTTAAATACTTGACTTTATAAATTTTTTTATTAACCAAAAAATCAAAAAAGAAAAAATAGTAAGCTCCACCTAAAAGGTTATGAGTAATGCTATATAATTGTTTAAAGTTAAATGATTTTAATATTTATTTATTTATTTATAATGTCATCAATATCCCATCATTGTTATTCAATAATCTACTAAATTTATAATGTTTTTCATTTTTACTAATTAACATAGAAAATCGATATTCCTAATTAATTAAATAAATAAAGGGAAAAAAAATCTTTACACTTGAATTAATAAATAATTGAGTAAAGACTCTGACTTAACTAAATTTTAATTTATAATAAACTAGTTAAGAAATAAACTATTTAAAAGTATTTTCGTCTTTTCAATCAAATATTAACAGAAAATACTAATGCAACCTGACGGAGGGTGAGAAAGTTGTCATTTTGAAACTTGATGGGCAGAAAAGTGTCGTTTCACTGAACCTTGGGTGGGAACATGTCGTTCTCCCTTAATTTAATTGTTAATGAATTTAAGATAGATGCACGACTAATTAAATATTATTAGCAAGCAACTCCTAATTAAGTTTTAAGTCTTTCTTTTATGTTAATATAGTTTTGGTCAGCTTTTTGTAGGAGCAAATTATCAAGTCTTCTAGATCTTCATTCTCAAAGAACTCGACAACCTGAATATAATTTTATATAAAGAAACTATCAATTTTGTCCCTGTAACTTTAGATTTTCCCTTTGTCCACCTCATATTGTGAACATTACACTTTGACCCATCATATATGTAACTTTGACATCTCTAACCCCTTTATTCATTGAACGTTACTTTCAGCCCCTCAGGAAAAAAATTCACATGCATTCGCTCTGATTTGTAAACGAATTTAAAATATATTCACGAAGAAAGTTCACACAAGAAAATGATTAAATTTAATTATTTAACGATGATACTATACTTACAATCCAATCTCATAAATTTTCGTTAATGTGATAATTTTTAATTAATCAGCTCATAAATGAATTTTATCTATTCGTTATGGGTTCTATCTACCTAATTATGAAACATCACATTAAAATTGTGGGAAAAAATTTATAAATAACGAATGTTTATTGATTATCTAAATAATGTTGTCATCAATTCATGTGATGCAATTTACTTAATAAACTATTAATTATCAATTCCTAGGCAACTTTTTAATAGGGTTAGGTTTTAGCTTTCCAATGTGAACGCATGCTAGTGACAAAGATAAAGGGGCCCACATGCAATTAACGACTTGATCTAAAGTTTCATTGTTATAATAATAATAATAATTCATAAAAAAATAATTAATTGAAACAATATTTAGAAAATTAAGTGTTACAACCCAAAGGTAACAAACATATTTTTAATGTTTTAACTATTTTTAAAATTCATTTATCAAATTGCATTGAGTTCTATTTTTTTATTTTTTTATTTCTTTAAATCAAATTGGTAAGAATATTATAATATTATTATTCTTTTTAAACTCTTTTTTAAATGTTATTTTGGAAATAACATTTCAAAATCTTGAAGATATAAAAAATAAATTTTGTTTGAAAAAATAAATCTTGAATATCATGATTTTGATAAAATACAACAAAAATGTTTTAAGTTTGCAAATAATTTGATTTTATTTTTCAATTGTGTATACCCACTATGTCTCCTAACATGAATAAAATAGGTTAATAGAGATTAATGTTTTAAGGGGTATGACTGATTCTCCGACTTAAATGATCTAACCAAACCATCATAAATATCTTAATATAAAAAGACTCACTTTTTATTAGTCTTCGTGAAAACAAATAGGCCCTAATTAAAAAGAAAAAAAAGGAGACGTTACACCCATAATTTTTTCTAATAATTTAAACACGACAGTTTTTGAGAGGAATTTGTAAAAAAAAGATTATGATGGAACATTACCCTAAAAAAAAATAAAATAAAAATAATAACGTATCCCAATAATGAAGAAAAACAGAAAAGGAAAATGCAATGTATATGGACGAACCGGGCCCTAGTAACTCGATTCATTTCTCTTTCTTCTCCTCTGTTGATCAGTTACTATTTCTGATTGCTTCGTATGGCGTATGCAACTGTTTCCAGAATATTGGAGCAACTGGCTTCAATCAGTAAGCAAGTGAAACAACAAGGTGAGAAGCTAGCAGTGGGCGTCGACAAAGAAGTTGAAATGCTGCGCGCCAAACTTGGAGCCATTCAAGCCGTGCTCTTGGATGCAGAACAAAGACGGTGGAAGGATGAAGCTGTGAGTGTTTGGCTTGGGGAGCTCAAAGACACGTGCTATGACTTAGAAGACGTGTTGGATGAGTGGAAAACTGCTTTGTTGAAATTGCAAATCGAGGGAGATCAAGAAAATGTTCATGTTCCTAAGAAGGTACCTTTCTTTCCCTTCACTTGCTTCAATTACAAACGAGTCGATTTACCTCATCAAATTGCTCTCAAGATCAAGGATATAACTAGAAATCTAGTTGTTATCGCCGAACGGGAAGTTTGTTTTCGGCTTCAATTCCTGACTAGTGAAATATCAGAGACTGTCTCCTCAATAGAGGTGTCTGATATATATGGTCGAGATATCGAGAAGAATGCTATAGTAGAGGAGAAGAATGCTATAGTACTACGTAAGTTACTTGAGGGTGGTGAACAGGTAAGAAACCTCCATATTATCTCAATCGTAGGTATGGGGGGAACTGGAAAAACCTTTCTTGCTCGATCTGCCTACAATGATTGTCAGATTGGAAAAAATTTTGATGCAAAAATATGGGTGGATGTATCCAATGACTTTGATATGTTAGCGGTTGGTAAAACAATCGTTCAAACTATAAAAGGTTCAGCCCCCGAAGTTGTGGAATTAGATTCTCTTTTAAATATGATTCGTGAAAATATAGTGGGAAAGAAATTTCTTCTTGTCTTAGATGATGTATGGACAGAGGATTATTCTAACTGGGATCCATTCTATCATTGTCTGAAAAATGGTCTCCATGGAAGTAAAATTTTGATTACCACACGTAGGGAGACAGTGGCACGTATGATGGATTCAACTGACACTATCACCATTAATGAACTGGACAACGAAGAATGTTGGGAATTATTTAGAAAAATAGCCTTTTCTGGTAGGACTCGTGAGGAGAGTGAAAATTTGGAAGAAATTGGTAGAAAAATTGCAGGCAAGTGCAAGGGACTACCTCTTGCTGTAAGGAACATCGGAGGTATTTTGCGCTTTAAAAAACATAGAGAAGAGTGGCTAAGAATCTTAGATAGTGAACTGTGGGAATTGACAGAGTTTAATATTCTTCCTTCTCTATTATTGAGTTATAACGATATGCCTTCAACGATAAAACAATGTTTCTCATATTGTGCCATATTCCCAGAAGACTACCGTATAGACAAAGAACAATTGATCAAATTATGGATGGCTCAAGGTTTTCTTGGGTTAGAAAATAATATGGAGATGGAGAGAGTTGGCGAAGAATATTTTAATGACTTAGTAGAACGATCGATCCTCCTAGTTAATACTTCATCTTATTGTATGCATGATTTAGTGCATGACTTGGCTTGTTTTATCCGAAAGAAGGAGCTCTTAATATTAGAAGTCAACGCTCTTGAAAACCCATCCATAAATCTTTCTCTCTATCATTTAACATTAATTCTTGGGGTAGGGGCTTCATTTCCTCCATCCAAATTTAGTAGTATGAAAAGTTTGCGTAGCCTTTTAATTCTATATGGAGTTACAAATTATCAGTCGATGAATGAAATCATGCCACGGTTATTTGGTGAATTGACACGTTTACGGGCATTAGATGTGAGTGGAAAAATATGGTATGAGAATATGGTCTTAGACATTCCGAAAGAGATAGGAAAATTGATATATTTGAGATACCTTAATTTATCCCTCTTAAAGATAAAAGAATTGCCAAAGGAATTGTGTGAATTGTATAATTTGCAAACTTTAGAGCTTCGTGGGTGTGCTGATCTCAAGAGCTTACCTCAAGGGATGGGAAAGTTAATCAACTTGAGACATTTAGTAAATGAAGGGACTTCACTAACTTACATGCCAACAGGAATCGAGAGATTAACTTGTCTTCGAACGTTAAGTGAATTTGTTGTGAGCGGTGATGACAATGGTGACAAAGCATGTACCCTGGAATCTCTGGCAAACATGACACATCTTCGAGGGTCTCTTAGAATAAAAATGTTGGGGAATTGGATTGAGGTTAATGTGGCCAAAAAAGCAGAACTTCGGAATAAGGACCTCCTCTTTTTGAATCTAAATTTTGAAAAGGATGCAGAAGAAGAGAGGGCGAATCTGGATAGAGAAGGGAACAGGATGGATAAAGATGAACTAGTTCTTGATGTGTTACAACCACCTCTCAGTTTAGAGAGGCTAGAGAGATTACATTCTACAGAGGTAATGTGTTCCCCAATTGGATTATGTCATTAACCAAGTTGAGGATGTTAAATCTCCATGATTGCATGAACATTACACATTTGCCTCCTTTGGGGAAACTTCCATCCCTTGAATCACTCTCTCTAAGGAGTATGAAGAGTGTGAAAAGAGTGGGCAACAAATTTTTGGGAATAGGTAGTGACAACGCATCATCATCTTCATTTATTCCCTTCCCCGAATTAAAATCTCTTGAATTTGTCAACATGGAAGAATTTGAAGAGTGGGATTGTGGAACAATCATGCCGTGCCTTCGATCCTTATCCTTTGTCTACTGTCCCAAGTTAAAGACGCTGTCAGATCAGATTTTTCAAATGGTAACACTGAAAGAATTGAACATCAATTGGTGTTCCATTCTGAAAAAACGCTGCACTCCGGGTACGGGAGTGGACTGGCCCAAGATCAGTCATATTCCTAACATCATGATTAATTTTGAAAGTGTACAACGAGATTTCCAAAGAGATGTCCGTTAAAGTTTCAGACAGCTACAGTTGTAACTGCACAAGTAAGTTCTTCTCCTGTTAACTGCAATCTTCTCTGTCGATTTTTTCATTTTATTATTTTTGTTAATGATTATAATTATTGTTACAGGGTTAGATATTTGATTCCAGAGGCTCATGAATTGCTTATTGCAGTGGCTGTAGTGGTTTATGGCATTCAAGAGGGACAAAAGCAGGCTGTTACTAGCTGGAGAAGAGAGGAAGATTTTACATTACCATTTTACCTATGTTGAGTTTCCCGGTTTGGTTTTCTTCCTTCAAGGTACAACTAGATAATTGAATTTTCAGTTAAATGGTTGATCACAATGTGCCTTCACTTATTTTGAAAATTTGCAAATTTTGACTCAGCAATGTTCTGTATAAAGGGAACGCAAATATCAAGCAAGATAGTATCATTCAGGATGCATTGTTTCTTATGCCCAGGTCCAACATAACAGCTAACACATTACGGAGCGTGCAGGCAACAATCATATATTGTGAGTGGTTTTTCAGTTTATTGGCACAGAACTCATCTGCTAACAGGTTTGCATTTTTCACTTTTTAATATGTCTCTGCTTTTCAAGTCATCCAAGTTTGTTTTCCTGAGCATGAACTATATATTTGTAATCTTAGAAACTTAGAAGTGATTCTCTCTATTATATATCATTTTGCTTTATGGTGCCTGTTCAAATTCACAGTTGAGGATTGACTTTGTAGGTGGAAAATGGGGTAGTACCCACAGTATGAAATCTCAAGGTACATGAAAGAATTTTGATCAAATTCATTAACCTGAAAGATTTTGGATCAATATTGTTACAAATGGTTACTAAAATTATGGATCATCAACATGGCTTCCTAATTTTCCAGGAGCAATACTCCCCTTCCTGAATTTTTTCTCAAGCTATGCAATTACTACTCTGTCAGGGCATATATGGATGATGGACTGATATGGTAAACGACTTACTGATTCTTCAAATATCAGATTAAATTTGAATGTAGTCGCCATTGTCATCAATACCAAGTCAATGATAAGTTAAGTGTTTCCAATGCAGTCTGTCAAGTTCAAATTGAAGAAAGCACAAAAGTTTGGATCCTCATTTACTGCAAACATTTAAATTATGTGATCAGAATTTGCCTGACAAAGACTTCATAAAGGTATTTTGAAATGTTCTTGACATATACATCTGTTCTTTCTACCTCGAAAACATTAGGTAAATGTTGCAATTTCAATGCTAACCAAATTTTATTTTGTTGAATTAGTTCGGTTTCGGAAAACTTGCTGGTCGAGAATTAGTGCGTCCTGCACCATCGGCAGCCTAAAATGGAAATAAAAGGCGCATATTGATCTCTCTGGTTGAGGCTACAGTCATTTATTCAACTTGACACTTGGGACCCTGAGCTTGTTGATCGTTTATTATTTCTGTTACCAAGAGGAGTTCCTGCTGATCTTTTTGCAATGAGGTCCACTCTACATGGGTGTCCAGCTCTGTTCGCTTGTCGTCAAAAAAAAAAAAAATCCGTAAGGCTTTCGTGCGGATTCTAGGCGGCCCTTTTGGCCAAGATCGGAAAAACAGTTCCTTGGCGAAATTTCAATGAACAATATTGGCAACACAACCTGAAGGATGTTAGAGTCCAGATTGTTTACTTGTTCAATGATGTATGGGAAACTTGGTCGTCACCTTGAAGTTTTGTCAATCACCTTATTTATTACCTTACCAATTTTAAGTGTACGTTTGTTGTATTAGATTCATGGAATATTTCCATTGTTGGAACTAATTTCATGAGAGAGAATTTGGAAGCATGAAGGAAAACTGAATTTAAATTTCCACTGTTTGCTATTTTATACTTGGAGAAGTTTGAGAGTACACTGTACACTCTTAGATACAGTTGTTTGGACAAATAATGATGGCGATTACGAGATGAAAAGAAAGTGTTACTATCTTCCAACTCCCTTAAGGTTTAAAGAAATCATCACTTGCCTTCTTTCGACAATGGTCAAAATTAACATGATTAGGGATGATTTTATGAAAAAGTAATGCAACGCATCCTAGAACGTATCGTCGAATTAACATTTTAAATGATATGTCATCTTATTTGGTATTGATATATGATTAACTAAAAAATCATCGCTTCAACACCACAGGATAAGCACTTTGGAATAACTTTGGGGCCGAACNTGTTCAAAGAAGTGATATTTTGCTTGAAGCATTATTTTGGATTAAACTGGAGCTGTTCTGGCTGCAAAAGAAAAGGCTGAAGTTTGAAAATCTGGTCTGGAGCAGTTCACGTTGCTGTTCTGTAGGCATGCTGAAGTGATGTATTTTGGTGAGTTCAGCATGTAGTTAGGTTGTCAACTTTGTATCAAATTAATGTGATGTAATCAAAGTTGCTAAGTTTGTGTGGTTAGGAAGCCATTTTGGACTAAAATATGTTTTATGGTTAGGTGCAATAGTGTCTGTCATGTATATATGTCTGCTGTAATTTTTCAGTTTAATACAATGCAATATTTCAGCCCTTTTCCTTTTCTTGTTTTTATCCTTTTCTCTCCCGTAAGACTACATTCATGCTCATAAAACCAACAACGTTGTCTGACATTGACGACGCATTGGATGAGAGGAACACGGCGGTCAAGAAGGGAGCTGAGGATGATTTGAGGCCTATTATTAGAAAGGTATGCTCCCTCATTCCTTCGTATCTGCAGTGTCATTATAAACATCTGGTTTTGCGTCGTGATATGGCTTTCAAGATCAAAAGCCTGAATAAAACGCTGGAATATATCACTAAGGAGAAACATAAGTTAAATTTTAGCATGTTGAAGGGAATTGAGGGGAAACTGGAACGAGAAATGAATCCCTCTTTTCTTGACCAGTTAAAGGTTTATGGAAGAGATGCAGAAAAGAATAAATTATTAGAATTATTGTTGAGTGAGAGTAGTCAAGCACCGAGCCTCCCTGTCATCTCCATAGGTGGGTTGGGAGGGATCGGAAAGACGAGTCTAGCTCGACTAGTGTTCAATGATACGGAGGTGAAAGCTCGTTTCAACAAAAGAACATGGGTGTCTGCTTCTTATCCTTGTGAAGAGATTTGGATTGCCAAAGCGATTCTTAAATCTCTAAGGGAATATGATGCATCAGATCTGGTCGAATTGGAAACTGTGTTACGGCATATTGGCCGATTTATTAGGGGGAAGAAATTTCTTCTTGTCCTGGATAACATAAAAATCGAAGGTCTCAAATCATGGGAACATTTGAATTATTCTCTTAAGTGTGGTTGCCAAGGAAGTAGAATTTTAGTGACTGCACGAGAGGAGAATGCTGTAAAGAAGAGAGAGAAGACACGTGAGGAGAATGCTGTAACGGAGAAAGGGAAGACACATGAGGAGAATGCTGTAATGGAGATAGAAACCACCTTCACAATCACATTAAGAACACTAACCAAGGAGGATTATTGGTCATTATTCTGTCAACTTGCATTTCATAATAGAGAACAATGTGAAAATTTGGAAGAGATTGGTAGAAACATTGTGGACAAGTGCAACGGCTTGCCTATAGCTGTAAAGATTTTAGGAAGCCTTTTGAGCTTTAAAAGAAATGTTGAAGATTGGAAAAACGTTTTGCATAGTGAGATATGGGAACTTGCAGAACAAAAAGGGCTTTTCCCACCTCTATTGTTAAGCTATTATGATTTGCCCATCATACTAAGAAAATGCTTCTCATATTGCGCCATTTTCCCAAAAAATTATGAGATAGAGAAAAGTCGGTTGATCAAGTTGTGGATGTCCCAAAATTATCTTAAGGTAGAAGGAAGAGAAGATATGGAGTTAATTGGAGAAGAATACTTTGAAAACTTAGTGATGCTCTCATTTTTTCAAGATTTTCAAAGAAACACTTATAATGGGAGCATAATAAGTTGCAAGATGCATGATATAGTATATGATTTTGCTCAATTTATTGCAAAGAATGAATGTTTTATCATGGAGGTAAATGATTCTGCAAAGTCTAAATCAGAGTCTTCTTATGAAAAAGTTCCACATTTAGTGATAATATTTGAAAGAGAGGGCTCTTTTCCAGTCCCTGTTTATAATGTTAGAGAATTGCGTAGCCTTGTGGTTGAGCCTAGAGGTGGTTTTATGAGTGATGTAGATCTGGGAAAGTTATCTGATCGGTTAACATGTCTAAGGACATTAGATTTGAGTAACCATGATAATGTTTGGTATGATTTAATTAAAGAAGTTCCCAAAGGGATAAAAAAGTTTATACATTTGAGGTATCTGAACTTGTCCAGGAATAGAAAGATAAAAGATTTGCCTGAAACATTGTGCGAGTTATATAATTTACAAACCTTAGAGCTCCATTTATGTACCAATCTCAAAAATTTACCTCAAGGGATAGGAAAGTTAATCAACCTTAGACATTTGGTGAATGATGAAACTTCAATAAGTTGCATGCCAAAAGGAGTCAGGAGATTATCTAGTCTTCGAACCTTAAGCGAGTTCATTGTGACTCATTGTGGTGATGTTAGCAAAGCATGTAGCCTTGAGTATTTGGAAAACTTAAATCATCTTCGATCTCTTGGCATAAAGAAGTTGGGAAATTTGACAGATGGAACAGAGGCTGAGAAAGCTAAACTGAAGAATAAGAAAAATCTCCTTGATTTGCATCTAAATTTCCAAGAGGATCAAGTAAGGCTACAGAAGGATGAAGAAAAGGCTGGGACAAATAATGCTGATGAGAAAGCTCTTGAAAGCTTGCAACCACCTCCAAATGTAGAGAAAGTAGAGATATCTTACTACAGAGGTAAAGTCATTTTCTCCACTTGGGTTATGTCATTAACTAAGTTGAGGTTGATGTCATTAGATCATTGCAAGAACCTTGAGGATTTGCCTTCTTTTGGAAGATTACCATCTCTTGAATCACTCATTATACGAAGTGCGATGAAAGTGAAACAAGTAGGAGATAATTTTTTGGGACTAGATGGCCATGACATAGCGTCATCTTCATCAATCGTTGCCTTCCCCAAATTAAAATATCTCGAATTTCAGAAAATGAAAGAATGGGAGGAGTGGAAGGAGAAAAAGGATGCCAAAATTATGCCAAGTCTTTGTTTCTTGACTATTGGATTCTGCCCCAACTTGAAGAGACTGCCCGACTTCATTTCTCAGGAACCCAGTCAGCTGGAATTGAAGATTATCTCATGCAAAACTCTGAAACAGAGTTATGATAGAAAGGAAGAACGAGAAAACTGGCGCATGATCCCAAACATCAAGTTTGATCATGAATAATCTTCAAATATTCAAAGAGACAACTGTTAGACTGGATTTGACCCTCAGGTAATTTCTTCTCCTCTCTTTCGTGTAGTCTCATTTGTATAAATCATTTTGATATTATTTTCAAAAATAAGTGCAGCTTATTGTACAGAACCATTTTTATGCTTATATATTCTTAAAATGAAGATATATAATTCTAATTGTTTTCTTTTCTTTTCTTTTCTTTTCAAGTTAGAACAAGCAGTGATGTTCTACACGATATCATGTAAAACATATGTTTTTCAATTGAGGGTTATTAAGAGTGGCTAAGTTCCATTAACTTGCCATGGTTTCTTGAGCACCTGTTGCCTTATTTTGATCTGTGAGAAATGAAGGTAATTGGCCAAACGGAATTTAATATCATTTTCTATGTACTTCTTTACCTATCAATTCTTCTTGCTAATCATCATGATTAATCTGACAGGGTTTTTCGATTTCTCGAGGAAATTAGTAATTTGTTCCCAGAGAGAGTAGAAAGATGTGATAAATAGGTGAAACTCTTTGAAATCTATACCCACTTCTTTAGTTAGCTGATCTCTCTTTGGAACATTCTGTACTGGATCATCAAAATGTTCAGCATCAGAAAATTGAGCTGCTTTCTTCATTATAACTCTTAATTTCTAGAATACTGATATATAGCTTTGCTTGGTAATTGCATAAGTTCATTACATTCAGTAATAGAAAGCTGCCGAATTCGTATGTCACTGGCTTTCTCTTACTGTTGTATTGTTGCTTATGCAGTTTTTTTGCAGTGAACGTCTCCATTGGTACTAATCTTGCTCTGCAAATTCCTTTACAGCCCATAGAGGTGCATTTTTTTGGTTATAGGATATTCACAGGTATTCTTAATATGCAAACTTGATTTAGCTCTTTCAAATGATGCAGCGAAAAAAGTTCAGCTTGTTATGAATTTTTTGAAGAATTAGCGCTTGATCATGATGTATTATACAAATTTGGCACAAATTACCACGTGACAAGATATTTTGTTCTCTTTTGACCTTATTGGTCCACCGGACATGGAATTCCATCTACAGAAGCATGTATGTAAATGTTTTTTCTTTTATATTGCAATGTAGAGGAACCTATGCAAAATACCATGAAGTGTAACCTGTGTCTACACTTGCTCAAAGGTTGGAACCGTTCTTGCTTATATTTTATCCCTTTTTTTTTTTTTTATCTTTTCAGTAATTGATTATTTGGTTTTAATGCCTTTCTTTTTCTTACTAGACCATGCAAGTTTCTTGTCACAATTTCTCACCGAAAGCTATAGTTAGTGTATTTTGTTGTATGGAATAGTGGAAATATATAAAGATAGATACAGAACCACCTACGGACTACAAGAGTACATTATGTTAGTCTAATCCTTTGTCTTTGTTTCCTGGAAATTGTGCGTGACACACTAGATAATTTGACCATGGCTTAGTACTTTCTTTTCCAGGAGAACCACAAATTGAGAAGCCTTCGGGAGAGGACTCAAACAGTATATTGCATGTCTCATGCTTCAAATACCTAATATTTGGTTAGTTATGTTCTCCAACTGCTATCTCTGTTTTCGGATCTTGATCATTCAATTAGAAGACACAACATAGATATTGTTTTCAAATTTAGTACTGACTTACTCCGCATTCTTGCTCATGGACAGACTTTCGAGACCTGTCAGAGCATAAGCAATGATCACTTTAAAGCCTTGAAAAATATGGGCTTTTGCCAGAATTTTGACTTTTGAATCAGAAGGAAAAATGCTCAGCCTGTCATACGCTTGGTGAGCTCTGTCATGTCCATCTATTTACTAATTTTCCTTTCCATCTCTCTGAAATAGAAGGTTCCTGATGTAAGGCAATTATCCTTTGTAAATACAATTTCTTAAACAAGTTGCCTATCATGAGTTTGAGCATGTCATAGTGTATATAACATTTGTGGTCCAAAATACACAACTGGAGATCGTTATAGTTGCCAGTAACCCTATATCTAATTGTTGCTTTGTAGGATTGTAGTGATTCTTCAGTACCAAATTACTATAACTTGAGAACTTGTTCTAATAGTTGAATATTTTGTTTTTTTTCTTTGAGCACTTTTGTAGTTTCAATGTACTCCACTACAAGAGCAATCTTCAACTCTCAAACACAAGGATGTTATCGGATGGAACTTCATATCTCAAAGAGGAAATGAAGATTGCTGGGATGTTAGAGAGAGTGCAAACGCCAATGGAAGATACTATGGAGGATTTCTTCTTGATTGAAGGCTTTTTACTAGCCAAGAAAAGCCAGAAATGGTTGGTTCTCAAAAGCAAGAATTGCTTAGAAGGGAGGTTGTAACCATTTCTCCGCATGAGGTGGCGATGGGGTTTTATTGCTCTTTTATGTTTTTGTCTTTCCTGGTGCCTCTAGAAGCTTCAGAGGCTGATTCTCTATTAATTTTTTAACGGTATAGTTTACCAAGCTGATCTGGATTTGTCTGTTATACAATATTGAGCACTTTCAGGTTGTTTATTAAGCAATGCCTGTACATATGTGAACTCTATATTATTTCATATGATGAATATACACAAGTTCAATGAAGACTTCCATTTACTTCAAATTTCTTTACCAGTTTTTATTTTCACAGTCACAGACAATATGATGAAATTAGATTGTTGTATCAGTTATAATATGGCAATACAATTCTGTAATCTTACTTGTCGAGTTATTATATTATATGAAGGATAAAATCAACGATCATGACAAATAAACCTCAAAGAATCAGAAGCTGTGGTGCAAACCATCCATCCATTTACGAAGACATTACTCCATCAGAGCATAGTCTTAGAGCATCCAGTGGAGCCTATCACGCTCTGTTCTGACATGGTTCTTGGCGATATGCTTCACACTTAGGACAACCAAAACGGGCCATGGTGAGTTCAAACTCATCTTTCAGCATTTCGATGACTTCTCTCGCCCTGTGGGAGGCCACAGATAACAGGCCTTCCAATCTGTTATAACATGTATCACTTAATATATTTAAGTAGTAGCAATAAAATTTCAAGAGAAAAACAGTTCAAGAATCGTAGGCATTTGTATGTTTTCCTAAACCTGGCACCAACTGTTAACTGAAGAGAGGAAAATCACAAGTGCAGCTTGTGCACCGAGGGTCAACTGTCAAGGCCTTGAAAATATCTGTACCTTGCCGCACTCCTCCATCCATTAGCACATTAATTTTCCCTTCAACAGCATGAACTACCTGCTAATAATAGCATTTACTAGAAGTTGTCAGTTAATGAATGGAAGTGCATGACTTTCCTAGTTTATGGAAGGCAACATGTCAGAAACCTGGAAAACCGCTAAAGATTTATAGCTATATTTCTTAAATGTTCCATAATATCTAACAATATTTAATTCAGTGTTTGAATCATCACTGTTTAGAGTCCTGTTCACAGCCTTTCTAAGTTTTGAGATGCATTTTGTTTTCAAGAGAACTTGCAAGTAAATCTAAGTGTTAGTGTAAAACTAATAGTCATCAACTCTTCAAGTACAGAATCGTGGCTGGAGAATCTAGCTGACGAGCACTGTGATGGGAGACAATGATCCAGAAAACAACTACTTGCACAGCCTTTATTGCTGCAGATGATAGGATTTCATTTATCTCACAAGCCTATACAAATGCTTGTAAGAGTCGAGACTGATATGTCCCATGTGTAACAAAGCATAATCTTAATGGATTTACTAAAGGGGCTAAAAGGTATTCAAATAAGAGTATCTTCAGTCATAAACTCCCAAGAATTACAAGATATATGATGAAATTTCATAAAAGATAAAAGGGAAAAGGTAAAGAAGATCCTCTATGGTGATTTATGTTGTAAATAACACAAATGAATAGATATGAATACCATCAATTTCGAGCTTACTGTCTTCACAAAAAATAACTCCCTTGATTAAAATTGGCAAGTTTGTAATAGGTCTTAACCATCCAACATCCTGCGGAAACCACTCACTAGTAAGATGTCCTAAATGCATATCAAATTGTAAAAGGAATAGTTTACCAGTTTATACCTTCCAACATAAAGAAGCATCCGTGGTCTCATCCGCAAAAGCTTTAAAATTTGAGCTTTGATCCTGGAAAATTCCAAATCTACTAAACCATGTAATTATTTTTGTCTATGACTTCAGACAAAAAGCAGAGATGCAGTTTGATATCCCATAGGAGTGTTGTTTATCAGATAATAACAGAGAGCAAAGCCACAACTCTATGGCATCGGCACTGAATCTGTAAGTTGGTGGGATGATCCGTGCAAATGAGAAAGAGATTTGTCAAGAGTAAATGTGTGAATCCCCTTAATGAGAGAGGAGCTCTCATTTTATAGTGGGATGCCTTGAGGTAATGATCACTGAATCTGTAAGTTGGTGGGATGATCCGTGCAAATCCTTCTTTTAGAGTAATTCACTTGATTTGCTGTAGGGATTAGACACGCGGGATCATCACAACTCCTGGCTGGCCTGACGTGCACCCATTATTCTGACGGAAGCAAGCTGTGGGTGCAACCATGATCACACGACGCGGTTGCGCCAGAATGCCAGTAAACTCTTCCCGAGGTCTGACCTTTCGCACTTAACTGGGCACCATGTCAACCCTATTTTCCCAGGCATAACACTTCTAATGAAAAGATATGGCTTTAATGGTGAGAGAGTTCGCCTTATTGGGCATGAGTTTGGAATTTTTGGCTTTTGATTTTTTTATTTCGGAGAAGAGGTCGGAGTGGCTGCCATGAATTTTGGTGGTTAGGCAATTATACTTGTCCATTATGAGTTCGAACATTATCATAGTCTATATACCATTTGTGCTGGGACGTTAGAGAATTGTGGGATGATGGAGAATTCAATATCTGAAAGAGGAAATGGAGAATTCTGGGACGTTAGAGATTGTACAAAAGCCAATGGAAGATACTATGAAGGATTTGTACTTGATTGGAGGTCTTTTCCCGCAGAAGAACAGCCAGGAATGGT